GGTGATCAGTTGACAGCTCAGCCCCTCTCTTTACCCGAGTGTCCAGAACATATGGTCGCAGGTCTGGTGATACGATTACAAAATCGATCATCGACCTACGATATTATCACGATATATAAATTGAAAATTTGCGATAACGATATAACTGATGATATAATTAACACGAGACAAAATAATTTACAACTCCGCAACTTTATTAGTGCAAAAAAAACAAAAACCAAAAACCCATCAATGTATTTTCACTTAAACAAGCAGCTGTTTTTTTATGCAAATTCCTTGCTGACAGTTTAACCATTTCCAGTGAAAATTGGCCGACATATCCTCAGCATAACCACGTATAATATCCACAAAACTTAAAAAGAGGTTATACAAACACAATACGGTAATATTATGTTGAAGCACAGTGCATATCACTCCGCGAGGCTCCTGCCTACGATACCTGTAATGCTCCGACAATCCATCAAGCGGTGCGGCTTCATAGCTTATCAAAGTCATACTAAAACATTTTTTGACAGATTTTCGAGCGCCGTGTATCACATAAAATCGGTTCAAGGTCAGTAAGCACAACCAGAATTCATACACCGGATTATAAGGGGCACTGTCGCTTTTTCAGAAAATCAAAGGATTTTAAGTGTGCCGTATTTTCTGAAAAACACGGTAATAACGACGGCCCACTTGCATGCTCTACCAAAAATTGTGCTTTGGTGTGTATCTGACGGACGAAAGCTAAACCAATTCCACACCACTGAAGTTGCAGCATTTTTACAAACCAATTCTGGTTCATCCGTTTCATTCAACGATCCGTTTTCGCCCTTCTCATTCTCCGTGTCCGCTTTTTCTGCCATGTGCATATTAAAGCAAAGGCACTGCGCATGCACGCTTTACCCATATTCTATCGCGATATTTCATTTTCTTATGATTGCCTAACATTATACCGGTATTACCGTGAACAGTATTAAATGGCGCAGCCCTGCTGAAGAGAGTGAGCTGTGCTGTTTCAATTATTTTCGAGCACTTTTCTTTTGCCCAGAGACTTAATCTAGGGACAGTCATGGGATTTTGTGCAATGGCAGTCCTCAAAGGATTAATTCTACTTAAGTTGATTTACCTTACAAGAGATCTGGATTCACACGAGATTCATAATCACCAGAGAATCCATCTTACTAAGTTTGTCAACTACTGCATGCAATCAAAGGCGCACTGAAGTCGGTGAAATGGGAGTCCTATGAGGAACTATGGGGTGTATAAGGTCAACTAAAGGTCTGGTTTACCTTTAATAATGGATCTTATATGTAATCACCTAACAAAGTATTTGTTAAGTATCTTTAGGAGTCCTTTATATGCATATTTCCTTTAAGAAATCTTGCTAGCTTTCAAAGCTTTCAAGGTCTTCCGAATCTGTTGTTTTCTTCCCCTCATTGATGTTCCTTGGTTGTCCTGTGGCTTGTTGATCTGCTGTTTGAGTTTAGCCCATGGTGGGGCTATTGCGCAGATGGTTCAGTCAATCACTTGTCTTTTTTGAAGAAGACTGTCCTAACTATTTTTCACAGAGAAGCTCTCTGCAACAAACCATGTTTCAAAAATGTTGATAAGATCTTCTGGATTTTCCACTAGTGCAAACGTTGGATGATATTTATGGGTTTTAAACAAATATCTTCTATTGCAGACATTTCCATTGACTGCAAGGCAAGATATTGCTAATGCCTTTGGTGACGTGTATTAAAGGATAACGTTTGCTTGTGCAAAACAACAAATCCTGTCAGCCTTAAATGTGCTTAATGCTAATTACATAAGGTTCAGACGCACTAACGTATTAATGCTAAGTTGGTTAAAGATTACGTTACAGCTGTTTTAGAATCGTATTGTGACATTTAACAAAATCTCAGCTCAACAGAGGCAATCTGCATTACAAGTGAATCAGTTTGCATATAATCCAGCCTAATTATAAACCAATGAGACACAGGTAACCATTTTCAGCAGTATTGATAGGCCATATTGACACATTTTTATGGTGCAGTTCTCCTGATAGCTCACGTTGTGGTCCACTTTCAGGTCAATAGCTGAAAGCATCTCAACATCATCCATCACAGTCTAGTTCTCCCCTGCCTCGGCCTACTTTGAGAGCAAGCTGAACAGATGATTGACTGTCAGCTGCCCTTCATGAGGCACCTGCACGACACTGCGGAGAATAAAACACCAGAGGGAGATGGTACCATCCCCGCAGCCACATATGACAACCTTTTTTTGTAAAAAACTTTCCTCTTTGACACAGCACTGGTCCATTAAAACAGAATAACTGCTGCCACAGTGGGGCTTTCACTAAAGGTGGCATCACAGTCAGCCACACATAAAAAAACCTTCCTCGGTATATAGAGACAAGCTCGCCATTCACCGTTTTCTACCCTAACATAGACTCTTTTAATCTCTGTACATTCTGTATTCTGTGCTTTTGATGCAGAATATGGAAAATCCATCACGCTAAACCAAAAATAATGAGGTTTTAAATAAATATGTTAAAACTTATGCACAACAGTTCTGTTTAAAAGTATTGAGTCACCCCGATTTCTTTCTATTTCTCTTTTAATGAGCCAGATTTTCTTATAATTTTATGAAAGTGGTGGTTTTTTTTGTCTAGCCACAACACTGACCTATAAATTCATTCAAGCATAAAAAAGGCACCTGACTCAAGGGGTGAATCAGCATTTTGTCCACACATAACAACTTGGCAAAAAACTATTTGCAGCTAGTTGCAAAAATAGATAATTTGCTTCCCTTTCTTTTGTTGAATCTATGGAAAATGTGAACGCTAATGCAGTTTGACAAGTCATAAAACAGTATTAGAACTATTTAACCAGTATAAATGGAGGAGATCCAGAACATTGAGTGTCTACAACCATCTTTAAAACATGGTGGAGGCTCTGTGGTGGTTTGGGGCTAAATTTCAGCCAGTGGCGTTGCCGATCTTGTCAAAACTGATTGAAAAATAATTACATTTCAATCCAGCGTGTAATACCATCTGGAAAGCATCTGATTGGAAACGGCTTTATATTTTAGCATGAAAATGATTCAAAACATATTCCCAGTTCAAGTATACCTGAAAAGAAAAAGCACACAATGGAGCACTATCAGTCATAGACTGATCTGGCCAGAGCCCAGACCTCAGTAATACTGCAGCAGTGGGAACATCTTGACAGAGAACAGAACAAAAGGCAGCCAACATGCAAAGAAGAGCTTTGAATTTCCTTCAACAAGCCTGGAGAACTATTTTTGAAGACTCCTGAAAGAAGCTAGAAAGCCTTGCGTTTGCTTGTTTGTGCTTCATTTCCATGCATGTTTGCAAGTTTTAATCACTGCAATTATGTACCATTTCCCACGCAAAAATACAAAGAAAAGGGTGGCTCAAGACTTTTGCACAGTGCTATATCTTGCATTGTAACATAATGTGCAGCTCCAACACTGTTATTCAGATTTGGTACCAATCATCTCAGGTAACAGGCAACAAGTATGAGGATCAACAATCCGTGTAATAGCTTCTAAGGAAAATAAACTTCTTTGAAAAGATGGCAGGCTTACATGTCGTGTGACTGAATAGCATTAACTGTCAAAGTGTGCCTGCATCCATATCATCAAAGCAAATGAAACGTCTCTGTAAACAGCTCAGATGAGGCCATTGTAGCGCGGCCTATAGCCACATCCCTGTGTTCTTCTGAGGATTGGAAACTGCAGCATTTGATACTGAGTGCTGTGATCACAAAGCAACCCTGCTTGCGATATCCCTCGTAGCAAAAAGCAAAAACGCTGTTCATTTCCTTGAATCTTCTGTCATTTGAAGGATGGCATAAAAATTGGGCTGAGTCAGTGTTTAACTCTGGACATTAAATTCACTTCTCCTTGGAGGAGTGTTATTATGTTCGCTCCTATCTGCGTTCAACTAGTCATTTCAGGAGATGCCCGAGGACACATTTAATTACTTTGAACAATTTACTTGAATGCCATGTAAATAAAGACGTCTCCATCCTCAACTAGCTTGACAGCCTCTACTCTGTTTTTTCTTTTTTATGTCATGCTCGCTGAACCAATAATCATACAATAAAATGCACGCAGATATAAGATCTAACCTCTATGTGTATGTGATCTGTTTTCTTTTGTTAGCGGCCTCGACGATATACATATTACACTACATGGGATGATTAAATTTTTCACCTCACTGCCCCTTATGGCTCAAACATGCTGACTCAGCCCCAGATATGAAACAGGGCAGGAAAAAAAAAAGAGCATGTCATAATTGTACCTGAAGCGTTTCCCTTTAGACAGTGCTTTGCTGAGAATAGGTGGAGCTACTGTTGATGCCCCTGGTGCCACTTTGCCGCCCTTAACAGACGATCCGTGAGAAGTGCAACTCTGCAAGAAATAAAGAAAGTTGCGCAGGCAGTTAGTGAAACTCAGATACTCAATTAGTTATACTCAGCAAAAGACCCGGAAATGTAGCTCGATTCCACTGCTGTAACGATTAAAATGAAAAACAAAATGTCCAATGTAAGTAGCTATGTAAGTACACAGAAGTGAAGCTTAGGATATAACACATAAGGCTGATAATTCTCTATGAGTTTAGCAGCAATCCCCAGTCAGGTCGAGCGTGTTCTCTCGCTGATGTATCCCCAGTTAGTCAGGCAGAGCGTCTTTAATTGCATTTTACATTTTAAAGCGGCAGATTAGGAGGGGACACTTTGTGAATAAACTCCACACTGGCCCTCAGAGCACTCCTGATTCACTCAAGAATTAATCCAACACAAGATTACATTAATGGTTTCCTAAAGAAATTGCCCTCTCAATTCTTTCCCTTTATTCTTATCAAAATTAAAACTATTATCTTACAACAGGCTGCAGTCAGAGCTCTGGCACAGTGACCGTGAACGCCCCGAGACCCCCTCTGTGAAACACTAAGTCATGAGATAATTCTGTCATTCCAGTTACAGCTCTCTCTCTCTTTCGCTGTCTGATTGTACATCACTAAAGCAATTGCATGTGACTTAGTGCTGGGTTCACGGTTCTCATGAATGATAAGCCTCTTTTTTTTCCCCATACACCGTTTGGCTCCCAGAAGAAGCTGTTACCGCTGCTCACTAGTTGTGCAAGAAAATAGTATCATTTGGCCACCCTCTCATATACCCTGCGGGGGGAGAACACCTCACTTTGTAAAACAATTGCCATGGCAAAGCTTCCTGGGGGAAGATATCTATGTCAGGGGATAAAATAAATAGCTGTTGGCAGTCTGCCATGCCATTCAGGTCTGCCATTGGCAGACAGTGGCGTAGCCCATTGGCGTAACCCAGTTTGCTTGTTCCCTCCCATCACAATTTTGCCTTGTTTCATGCCACTTGTGAACCTTGGATAAACACAGCGCAATGTGCACACACAAGGAAAATACAAGAGAAGGAGAGAGTGACAGGAAAAAACCCTCCCCCATCAATATGTTGACTATCACCTTCATATTAAGAAGTAAAGCAAACCTATGCATTCAGAGCAGCCATAATCCCCCTTGGATTACGATCAAATCACAGGTCCTGAACTGTGCATAATAGGATATTTGACCATTCTTCAACAAGGACAGTCTTTGAGCTAGCAGCTCAAAACTGCATGTACGTTTACTGAAAGAGCATGTCTTAACACTTCAGGCCAAGGTGTGAAGATTTTTAATGGACAACAAATGCGACTCTACCCCGTATTTAAATGTTAACAAGTTCATTCAAATTATGCACTGCCATGCTCAGATTTGGATTTAACATTCAGGCTGCACTGTCCTTTCCTTTTAATAGTCGCTGAGATACCTGTAGAAGTTATCATATCTCCCCTTCAGCTGACACAACACCCCTGCTGAACAAGCGGCTAATAGCCCTGATCCATTTCATACTCATAATTGTACTCTGCTTGATTATCTGATGGCAGAAGCACAGCTTCAATACTTTACACTTTCACACTTTCTGAGACATACTACATGGGTGCTAATTGAAGCTGTTCCATCAAACCTTTCCCAGATGTTTGAAGTTCATTAAACAACGTCAATCTGATAAAAACTAATGAATCAAAATGAACGATTCTCTAATTATCTTGAGAAAGTCTTTGGCAAACAAAATTAGACGAAAAACACATTACTTCATAATATTAATAATACTAATGAAATGATAATAAAACCGACTATGGTTCAAGAGAACCTAGCCTTGAATCACACCGGAGCATTCATTAAAATATTCTGATATGATGAAGTATTTATATAGCATGCTCACTCCTGAGAGGGACTCTTCTTAGAAGACTAGTTAGTTAGAACCACTCAAGCTTCAAGCTGATGCCCTCGTTGCCTGTATGACCCTATTCCTTCATGTCAGCGCATGTCTGTTGCCGTGCAGCCTGTCTCATGGGTGTATAAGCCATCTCTTTCATTTGACACATATTATTACCACAGAGGTGTTGATTCAAATAACAGTGGACACAGAGGGGTGTTTCAGTATGTACTTACAGTTCATTTTCTCTTTTTCGTTTCATTTCCTTTCCTTTGTAAAATACTTGACATATACAAGTCCCAGCTGTTTACAAGTGTGTATTTGAAGTAGCTGTTCATGTGGAAATGTATAGTCTGAATTGCAGATGGAAGAAACATTTGCACAGAAATAGCTACATATGTGCATACAGTATATATAATGCTTCATGTTCCACTTCAGGTGCCCTATCAAAACATTAAAAAATAATAATCATCTGTATTTCTTAAGGGGTGGTTAAAATGATGGCTATTTACTTGGGCAACCTCCTGTAGTCATGTAAAATATAAACCCTTTAATCTTTTCGGAAAGATGGTCATCGCCTCAGGCATAACAAGGAAAATGGTGGAGAAGGTTGCTGTCAATACAGGTTTGCATGCATGTGCTTAACATATAGCTAATACACTATTCTTACACGTTCACAAGAAATTTTATTAGATACATCTTGCTAGTAGCGGTTTGTTTCTTTGGCAAAGCTAGCTTAATTCTTCATGGCTTGGATTCGATGAGGACATTAAAACATTTCTCTGACATTTTGGTCTATATTGACATGAAAGCATCACACAGTTGCTTCAGATTTGTTCCACCACATCGCAGAAGAGTTCTGGTGGCCGTGGAGGCCATTTGAGTATAGTGAGTACAGTACAGTTTGTAATGAATCAAATTGAAAGCACTTTGTACTAAGGGGCCTAAAGTATGCCAAGAAAATATCTTGGTTTGAAAGAGGAGTAAAAGAGGCCATTTATGTCCACTGTGAGCAACCATCTTTGAACAGAGGCGGTGGCTTACGACACAAACTTTCTGACATCTATAATCCAGTCCCTTCCCAGACGCCTTAACGCCCACTCACATCCCGGGGCATCTGACCTCAGGAAATCACATGATAGGGTGGGGCCAGGTTTCACAATGAGCTCACCCAAAACCTTGGCTGATTGTGACCTACACCCGTTTTCACACCTTGACTCGTGTGATTAGGTAGAGGATCATTAGGGCGTCGATTTGTCCCTCTTGGGGGGGGGGAAACTCCCACAGGGTTTAAACCTGGGACTCTCCACCATTTGACCCTAGAACTGAAGAAGCTTCTCGGATGAGAGGTGAAACGTCTTCAAGTTCAGACGCTTTTCTTTCCAAGCTCCTTAGACTACGATGACCTGGATGACTGAGAACCTTCACAGACAAGAAAGTATCTCCCACACCATTACACCAGCAGCCTGAACTGTTGATCCAAGGCAGGTTGGATCCATGCTTTCATGGTATTTACGCAAAAGGTATGCCTTTAGGTATGCCTATGCAAATGTTATGCTCAGTTTCTTGACAGGAGTGGCACCTGATGTGGTATTCTGCCACTGTAGCCAATCTGCTTCAAGGTTCAATGTTGTGTGCATTCTGCATACTTTAGTTCTAACGAATGATTGTTTACTAGTGATCAGTTACTGTTGCCTTCCTGCTCAAAGCAGTCTGGCCATTCTCTTCTGCCCTCTGGCATCAACACCATCAATTTTCACCCAGAGAACCGCAGCTCACTGGAAGTTTTCTCTTTTTCAGACCATTCTCTGTAAACCCTAGAGATGGTTGTTTTGGAAAATCCCAGTAGAGCACCAGATTTTGAAATACTCAACCATGCCACATTTAAAGTAACTGAAACTGCCTTTCATCCTCATTCAGACACTCAGTTTGATCTTCAGCAGGTTGCCTTGACCATGTCCATGCATGTTCTTAACATATGGCTAATGCACCATAAGGGTCTAATATAACCCAAATCATTATATTTTCCTAAAGCTAATCTCTCCATAATTTCCATCTTGATATGGATTTTGTAGGTTTTTACACAGCTTTACTGGCGTCGCCACCACTTACATCAAATGCACGCCGTTTCAAGAGTGTGCCTCTTAGGAGTGACGTTATGCTTTGAATACAAGAGTTAAATTTATTCTATTAGGAGTGTGAAGGTGACCAGGTGTATATTTTTAAAAAGAGCTGAGGATTTAATTTGCCTTGCATATGCTTTCATCATGTCAGCATATATGTCTTTAGTGATCACACCTAGAGGGGAAATGCCTTTTTCTTTAATCCCAGAATTCAAAGAGTTAATAACAACTGAGCGCCGCATTAGTTTATTAGAGACTTCAAATGGAAGACAATGACTAAAAAAGGACTTCAGTTTTATCCTCCCCTCTTGCACCTGCCTTGTCAGAGCCAGACATTTTTTTCTAGCTCGCTGCACTCATCCTCCATCCTACTGCCTTGAACACATGCACAAAAACCCCCATTGTGCTTTGATGCTGGGTTATGCTGCATACACCAAATGTTTTGAGCCTATTTAAGAACACTCTGCTCTGTTCTTCCTTTGAAAGTATTTTCATTTTGTCTGTGTAACTTTAAAGAAAATAGAGATATTGTAGGACTACACCACCCACACCCACATGTCCTCTCCCTAGATGGTTACAAGCTGAGGGAGTGGGTGGAGAGAAGCTGTGGTCTGGGGTCATTGTGTCAAATCTGTGGAAAAACAGGTTTCACTTGTTAATCTTTCGTTGGTCTGTACAGCTCATGCCCCCTCCTGGGTGCTTATAGCCAGTGATCTTTCACATCCCACCTTAAGCTTCCCTCACACTGTTCTATTATAGCTTGTGTTTCCGTGTTGTCTTTGCCTTCCTCCTGGCTTTCTTCCTTTGTCCAGCATTCAATGCATTTCGTGGTTGGATGCAGGGCTTCACTGCCTCACCCGCTGAGCCCTAACACATTCCCGATACCACCATCTGAGTCTCCCCTTTTTTAGGTTGCTGTTGTGCTGGTTATTGTGCTTATATGAAAGCATTTTTTAAATATTACTTAAACACAACTACTTAACAGCTTTTTTAACATTTG